GCAGAAAAACATGAGATGCTGTTAAACAAACAAGTCGCTGGGAAATGGTAAGAAATGAGTCAAACTGTGTCAAAGACTACTTTTACTTGCTTTACAACTGAGTGAGGTCTCCTTGAGTTTATACAAGCGAGACACTAAAACCTGGGAACTCATTTTCTAACACCTTTTGGTTGGTTAGACTGAACAGACCACACGAGTCTTACTAGGTTCGGGAAACTCCGGGAACAGCTTTATCTGTTTTCCTGACTTGCAGAGTTGAGAGGAGTCCCACCAGGGTTAGGGCTCGAAGCTATAGGCAGGCAACAGCACCGAGAGGCAGCACCAGAGAGGTGGCGAGGAAGACGGGTGAGAGGTGGTTAGATGGAAACAACATGTAGAGAATGGAACTGAAACCAGCTGCTTGTCCCGGGGGAGCGTCCCCGAGGCCCACTCGCACGCCCGCCAGCCCACTCATACTTAGGCAAGGCCATCGAAACACTCAAGGGTATTACTCTCCTTCTTGTCAATAGTTCAACAATCATGACATTCATAACCAGCCCAGAACATTTTTAGGGCAGATTATCTTTTGGCTTCTCCCCCACCTCTTGTCCAATTATACCAAAGAGGTAAGTGCCAAGATACCAAACTTCATAAAAAGTGTAAAATACAGTGAGCAGCAACCGGCCATCTCAGCTGTTTCTAAAGTTGTGAACTTTCAGGTTCAAGTTCTGGATTTGTTTTTCACTGAGTTGCCTGCCGCCTGGGAACTAGAGAGCGCTGAGCTCACAGCGACACCACACACCTGAGCTGCTGCTGATACCCAACATCACGTCCCTGTCTGCATTTCAAATCAGGCTTATAAACAGCTACTAAGACAGACCTCTGATCAACCACTCATCAAATGGCAGTTACTCCTATTCATGACGCATAAATACACACGCTTCTCATTATAAAGAAAGCTTCCTTGTTCCAAATAATCTGCTTTAGCAAGTCCCCATTCCCTTCTCCATTACAGACGCCACCACCGGCCCTGGTGACGGCCTCAGCTCTCCACCACACACTGAACACCACCAGCAAAGCCGTCCTGTGTCCTGGGCACAGGGTCCACTTACTTGTCACTGCGATGTTGATCTCTCCCGTTCTAGGAGTGAGCTCCCCGTCCTGAGGAAGAGGTGAGATCCCCGAAGTTCGAAGTGGCTCGAGGCCAAGGGAGTTGTCACTGGCGAGGTCACCTAGGGCTGATCTCCGGTTAACTGCTTGGGTTCTGGTGAGCCTCTCCATGTCAAATGCTACGTTATCAGTACACGGCAAATTTGGCTGCAAAATATTTCCAGATTAAAAGTACTTGTAAGATTAAGAATTCCTTTTATAAAATTCTTAAAGTTCAACATCCCTGTTGAAAACACTTTACCGAGTTTTTTCTATGTGATTTCCTCTCATTTCTCTCTTCATCTACACTTTCCACTCTCATCCAAGAGTTTTTCTTTAAAAGAAACATGATTTCTTCCCAAAAATGGTACAAAGGAAAACCAAAATTCATTGCAGAACTGAGAAAATTGGATACTTCATCTTTATAAAGAAATGACAACCCCTTATGGACAAGGCTCACAGGCAAAGTGATTCATTATCATTGTTATAAAGCTGACAAACAGTTCGGTGTATCACTTTGGCTCTTATGTTAACGCAGGTAACAGTAAATACCCCTTTCATCCTACTAACTTCTCTGTAATGCCCCGTCCATCTGGTAGACAAGTTTTTAAATATCTCCTACTTTTGAATATAAGTAATGCATACAACCAAGAGCCAATCAACGTTGAAAGAGTCTTGAACTCTGAGAAAACTATCTGTTGCAAAACCCAAGCATCTAATTCTGGAAGAGGGGTTCAGAGCTGCCGTGGAGCCAAAGCTTACCAGCGAAAAAGTGAATGGATGCTAAAGTCTTCTGATTTAACAGCATGGATACCTGGTTTCCTTAGCAACCGTCGGTGCTTTTAGCCAACGGCAGGCAGTGTACTAGGAGCAGAGCTGGGAAGGGTGGCTGAGAGAAGCTTATGCTTACAGAGAGGTGACAGCCAGCCAAACCCAGGGCAGTGACCTCCTGGGCAAAATAGTTCTCTTCTTTGTCACCCCAAATTTAAAGAATCACAGCATGGTGTGATAACCGAGGCTAATAATGACACTCATTTAGAAGAGGGCTTGCTACGTTTTTCATATTTAAGGAACCATGGCAGTTTATAATACATTTCAGAACGATTTTCATTAAAAACAGAAGGAAAGAGTATGTCTTGGTCCTTCAAAGAATAGGACTTAAATAACAAAACAACAGCCAAGAAGGCTGGAGGCAACAGAGGAAGCTGAGTTAGTATCTCCCCAAGTGTCTGCTACGCGCCAGGCATTATGGCAGATGCTCTACAATACACCCCTCGCGTGGGGGTGGACAGGGGACACCTGGCCGGGCCCAGAGACATTTCTGATTGTGTGGCCAGGGCGTTGTATTTACTAGTAGATGCCAGGGATGCTGCTGGACAGTCTACAGGATGGCTCCCCCACCAAGAAGGGACTGTCTGGTCCAAAGTGTCGGTGGTGAAGAGGCGGAGGCGCACTGTGCTGAACACAGCATCACCGACCTGATCTCTGGAGACGGAGGATCAGCGGGGCGTCACTGCCCAACTGGATCACACCTCAACAGCCATCTGAGGGTACTTTTCAGATAGGACTACTTTGATCTGCAAGGGTACAGTGAGGAAATTCATCTGCTGGGTCAAAACAAATGTTTTGCTCCACAAGATTGTTCAGTCTTTTTTTGAGACCAGAAAATACTTCCTTTGCCTCTAAAAAGCAATAATCCTGGATACATACTCCTCTCACGGAAGGAACCGTAGGGAGCCTCCAAGGTCCTCGGCTGGTCAGCGGCTGACCCGCCCGGCCAGGGCTGCAGTGCTGCTCCACGCGGCCCCCGCCCAAGGCCCCCGCCAGGCTGTCGGAGGTCTGCCTGGGGCTGGCACTGAGCACATCACGGCCTGCAGTGACCCATGCCCAGGGGAGCAAAACCATATTCAAGACGAAGGAACATAAGTGATGACCTCATCTTACATCATGCTGACCTCAGAAAAACTATTATTGGACCAGTGTAAAAGTCTATATTCTAAATTCCTTAAAAAAAAAGATATTGGAATGAAGGAAAATGGTCTCCTTCTCTCTGTCTCAGTTCTCCACCACACCCCCACCGCCCAATACACGCACGCTTTAAAGTGGACCAGCACAGTGTTTCACCTTCTCTGCCAGGAGTTCTCCAAAGTGGGCTGGACTTTAAGTGACGTGGGGAAAAAAGTCAGTGCTAGGCTCACAGGGCTATACAGCAAAGGAAGTCAGTGTGTCCCTGTGGGACTCTGAACCGTCCACTCGTCCATGTCAGTGCCATGCTTACAGATAACACTACACGAAAGTATTCACAAAACAGGAAACATACCACAATTCCCAGGGCCTTCAAAATATTAAGTTTGCACATAGGACAGGTACAGTGTTCGCTAAGCCAGGGATCCACGCAGGATTTGTGGAAAACATGCCTATAAAAAAAGTGGAGAATTGTATGACAAATTATATACTGAAAAACTCTTAGGCCAAAATGCAAAGAAATGGAATTTTTGGTCAGTCTGTTTCTTTCCCCTTTAGGACATAATCACAGGCCCTAAGAGACAAATATTGGGGATGTACTGCAACGTACCTGGAAGAAAAGCTCCTGAACCCAACGTCATATGCTGAAAGCACCGTATAAACGAGAACTGGTAAGAAGTATTTTTCTTCTGCCCAATTCCAAAAAAGATTTGAGGAAATGTAGAAATTTATTAAGGATGAAGAAAATGAATTATACCTTATACATCAGTTGTTTTCTACAACAGCAAAAGCAGAAAAATGGAGTTTCAAAAAGATACTAACCAGGAGTAGAAAGAGTTCTCTATGTAATTACCAGTTTCATGGACCTCTGTTTAAATGTCATTTAAAACATTATTTAAAAAGACTTCTAAGCAACCCACGTTAAATGTTTGTAAAGTTCCAGGGCGGCTGGGGCTGTTTTTAGGGATAAACTGTGTTTAAGAATCAGCTAACATTCAGCCAGCAGTTTTCAGCTGAAATGAAGGGAGAGAGAGGATGGGGGGGTTTCTCTCTTCCTCAGGGGAGAAGGAAGTCACACCCTTGTGGGTGGAAGTAAGTCATGGAGGGTTCTGCATTCTTAAAAAAGGGGCTGGTGCCCTCTGGAATGGAGAAAAGACTTTGAGGGAGCTGTGGAAGTCATTTCTCACTCTCACTACCTCCCCACGGCAGCTCTGAGTAGCCGAAATGAAACCGCACGGAAGCCCCAGGGTCCTGGCCCAGCAGGGACCGAGGCAGGCGCCAGGACAGACAGCTGGGCACCTTTGGAGGAGCTATCATCAGAGTCTTGGCATAAGATACAAGAAAATTTGAGAAAAACATCAAATTGAACCATGGTATGCCTCTTAATTTATAATTCATATATAGCTTACAAGTAGTTATATATACTTGTTTTAAAGAGCAGTTTTGATCTTAAAAAGCGAAAGACCTAGAAAACTCACTGTTTTAATTGGGATTTGGAAGAAACATTTGGGTTTATAGCTTTGACCCCAACAACACATACGTACCCACCCAATGTCACCTGGTGGCCTTATGCCCATTTCTTCGGGGTAAGAAGAAAGACCCTGACAACTAAATGCATCAGTCTAGTACTGAAACTCGTAGATAACGCAGTGAACCAGACCTCATCATCCCTGAAGGCCTTTATTTAAACCTGAAAGTTTTTATTTAATGGGTGAAAGTCACCAAATCATAGGCAAGACCTAAATTGACTTTGTACACGTGAGGCATTGTCACGTCCGTTGCCCGTTCCTCGCATCCGTGAATGAGAGTGCTCTAAGGCAGAAGGCTCCTTGCCCCAGGACCTCCACCGAGGGTATTCTCAGAGACGGCGTAGCTCCCCAGCCGGCTGGGGACTGTGCCCAGTGTTGGCTGTAGTCTAACCAAGACTAGAACGAGGCCTTCAGTCCTTCCTGGAGACGTAGACTCCCTTAGGTCTGACGTAAATGACAGGCCCTCCCCCTTACAGGGGCGCCCCTCTCTAGTATCTGGCATACGTTTTTGGGAGGCCCACGGACCACTGAGGGTTTGATCAGTGTGGGATGGGGATGGGCGGCTGGGAAGGTGCTCCAAACCAGTTCTAGGCAGTCTGGACGACGGAGTGCAGCTGGCTGACCAGTGGCAGGAGAAAGAAGGTCGTGTGATCGCTGATGTGGCCACTCTGGCAAGGGGTGGCTGGCCTGGACCGCTTGCGGAGACCCCCGGCTAAGCAGCGGCGGCGGCCTGGGGTGGAGCCTGCCTTCGCCTGCCCGCCCTCGCCAGCGCTCCCGCCTCCCCTTTCCTTACTGTCGTGCCTTGTTTCCTGTTACTGGTTATTCAGAGAGCAAAACGGTATAATCCCGTATTTAACGTTCAAAGCCGCGTAAGCTGCTGTTCTCTGTTCATCTGTTCCTTTCACCTTTGTCATGGATGCATCTCTCTTATGCTGGGGCTCTTAGCTGTCCCCTTGCAGGTGTGCTGATCCAAAAGAAAGGGTCTGGCGCCCTGCTGCGGGGGCGCCGACACGAAGGAAAACAGAGACTAACTGTTCTTCAGGGAAAAACTGAGAAAGTCTCCCTTCTTAACCTAACTCAAAATCCGAAAGAAAAACCCAAAAAGCCCTTTTCTTTGGACTCTCTGTCCACCCCATGGCTTTCCTACCCCCGGCCAGTAAGCCGCCCTTGTTCCCCCCACCCCGACAGAGCCATCTTTGACTCCCGACAGTCCAGCTCCGGCGCCTGGCCCAGAGATCATCAGTCTGATTCCCACAGCACATCTCTCTCTTCTGCAAACAAAACCCAGGGCTGTCGTCTTCACGCGCTGGCCCTTCTGACCCAAGCCCATCACATACCCCCTCCCTCCGGTCGTGACGGGACGCGCTGACCGGCTCTCTGTGCTCACTGACGCCTCTCTTCATCACCCACTCTCTCCACTCCTGCTTCTGTCTCCTCCGCTCTCCCGTTTTACCGGGCTCAACATGGCCTTCCCCTCCTCCTAAGCGGAGTCCTGCTCCTACAACTGTCTGAGCCTCGACTTGCTGCCCTCACTCCCAGCTGTCTCGCCTGAAAGCTGCAGGCGGAAGGGGGTGAGGCGTGGTGGGGAAGGCGGTGTGTCACCCACCTCGTGAGGCTGTCCGGGGCAGCAGGCGAAAAACCGTAAGTGTGATCCTTTGAAAAAGCACACAAATGAACTACTCATCATGTACAACTAAGATGACTGATTTCTTGAATACGTGTGAGCACATCTGACTGTCCTTTATGACTGTATCACCACATTCTGCTGATTCTTATTTTATAGTTGGCTTTATTCCTTTGATAACTATGTAAGTTTAAAAAGCTAAAGCTCGAAACTGTTCTTAGGAGCAATGATCAGTACACATATGTAAACTAAAAAAAAGGTGCAGTGTACTGTCTGCATGTATTTACATGCAATATCGTGTGTGTGCAGTTGGACTGTAATAATACTACCTAATAAAACTGAAAAAGGAAAAAAAAAAGAAAAGAAAAAGCACCAGGGACATGCAAATGGAAGCATCATTAAACACAAATTCAGGCAAAGTAACGTCAACGTTCCACACGATGCCCTGATGAACGGTCAGAGCCCCCGAGCATGCCCAGCGCCAGTGACCTCTTCCCAGCTTGCAGACATACCTCAGGCATCCACAGACGCCTCAGAGGGGGGCACCTGGGGCTAGCCAGACCTTGGAAAGAAGTCCCTTCCCGCTGTTATAAAAGACTCAAAACAATAAAAATGCACGTAAAAGCAGAAAAGGGCACGGCATATGCTGGGCCAAGCGGTGTACAGGGGTGGAAAGGGGGTGACGTGCTGATGAATCGTGAAGCATGAAAAGGACAAGCTTATCAGAGCTTCAACAGAAGTCCTTTATTCCCATGAGAAATACTTCGGGATACAGAATGTGAAACGTATGGGACATAAAAGGAACAGACCCGGAGGAGGGGGCAGGAGGGTATAGCTCAAGAGGTACAGTGCGTGCTTAGCAAGTACGAGGTCCTGGGTTCAATCCCCAGTACCGCCTCTAAAATAAATAAATGAATAAAATTTTAAAAACCCTATTACCTCTCCCCGCCAAAAAAGAAACCAAGAAACAAAAAAACCCAAACAAACAAAAGGAACAAAACCAGTTACATGGAAATAGGCTGCCCTCGCCCTTCCCTACTTCCCACACATGCTGTAAACTAGAGTGATCAGAACACTGGTGGAGGGGGGGAGCGGGGAGAGGAGCCTACACTGAAGGTGAGTGCTTTTCACAGCTCTGCAGCCTCTTGGTGTCGTGCGAGGAGCTGGCAAACATAAAAGGATCCAGGATTATCAAAGGTCAGAGACAAGAACTCTTCCCCCGGAGCTGGGACTGGCAGCAGACCCTCGCTCCGAGGCGGGGGCATCACGGTGACGCCTCTGCCAGCAGACAGATGACTGACCCATTTTAGCTCCCAAAGTGGCGTCTTAGACAAAGGCTTATCCAAGCCAGCACTCTACTTCTGAAAAGTACTTTTGACTACTAAAAATATTTTGTGGCTGACCTTTAAATAAAAGAGGTCTAAATAAGGTAATAGTTTTTTTAGTTTCTAACCTGTGTTGCCTAACGTCCAAAGGATGATCAACTATAATCAACTGACACAAGTAGGAGGTCCCAAAGCGATGCCAGCTGCCATCTGTCCACAGTAAATTAATGTGACAGAAGGTGAAAAGCAAAGGTCATGCAACAAGACGCCAGCAGTCCCCGAGGGGTGTGCTATCTGCGGGAAGTCTCGGCCCAGCCTCCGGACAGGCTCGTTAAACAGAAGCAGGGACAGACACACAGAGGCACCCGGGCTTTTCTTCTTTCCTGAGCCAGGGGAGAACGGACACTGGGTACAGACCCGTTCCGGGCTCTGGCTGTGAAGGGGAGAGGCTGTGGGTGGTACAGCTCTGGAGGTGGGTTTGAAAGACAGTTATGAAAACTGGACAGAAAATGCTTGAGCGTGATGAAGTGCTGAAAGAATAAAAGCTGGAGGGAACACAGATCTAGCAGAGCACAGTCCCCAAGGGAGGGAAGGTGTCGGCACGTGGAGGCCCAGGTGGAAGGAGCACACCAGAACCACAGAGACTGTCTCCTTCACTGCGACGTGAGGGAAGGCTGCAGGCGCGGGTGTGGGGCAGGCACACACAAGGGCCTGGGGTCATCAGGCTGAGAGGAGTTCAGGTGTCCAAGAGCCATTCTTTTCTCTGTGAAGTGGGTGGTGACGCTATCTGATGAGAGTGAGGAAGAAAGGGACACATGAAGGTGTGGAAGGAGAAGGGACACAGCTGGCAGCGCTGCTAGGGGATGGGGAGAGCCAGCCAGGGGGACGGAGGGGCTCGGGGCGGCACTCCAGGCCTGGCTGGAGGTCTGCTCCGCGTCCCAGGGAGGAACCAGAGCTGAAGGAAGACGTAGCAGAGTCACACCTTACACGGCTAAAAAGACCTGCAGATCAAAGAGGAAGGGCAGGATATCTCAGGCACAGGAACAGAGCGAGCAGCAGCATGAGGCAGCCACCCCTGGAAAACAGGCTTGGGAAGATTTGGAATAAAGATGAATATTTAAGTGGAGCCCTCCTCTAGGTCAGGAGACATCCGTGGGGGTCACAGCTGTGTGTGGGGGGCGCTACTGGCATCTAGTGAGTGGGGCCAAGGATACTATAATCTGCAATGCACAGGCAGCCCCCGAATGTGCCCAACGAAGAATTATCTGGTACCAAATGTCAACTGCGCCCATGGGGAGAGTCTGCTCTAGGTCAGAAGCTGTCAACTCGGGTCACACAAAACACTGCTCAACGCGCCCAGTTGGTTTTCACCACACCTGAGAATCCCACTGCTGTCACCATTTCAGGGAGGGGAAATGTGTGCAGGGCAGGGTGTGCAACACGGAGAAAGCTGCCGCCTGCCCTGAAGCAGAGGGGTGTTAGGGCAGTGGGCATGGACAGTCCAGACCAGGATCTCAGGACTCAAGTCAGCCAGGTGAGCAGTGCCCTAACTACAGGTGCAAAGAAACACTCTCAAGTTTGCCAAATCCTAATACTCAAAAGCGGACCATGAACATGAAGGCTGAGGCCACTCCTCTGCGGGGAGGTGCAGCCACCGAAAGGGCTACGACCTAGCAGAGCTCTGCACTTCAACAGACGGTGGGGCCTTGCAGCATCAGTCACCCAGGCACTTCATGAGAAATAAACACGCCCAGGGCTCCCCACTGATTCTGAGGCAAAGTCAGGTTTGGAAGGAAAAAACAGAACCAAGAATGAAACTTTCCAAAAGCCAATGCTTGAGGGACAGAGAGAACAGGCAGCAAACGTCCCAGCACAGTCTGTTTCCAGCAGGAGCCCCTCCGAGGGAGACGCTGGCGCCTGCAAATGACCACCGCTGGCCGTGGGGGGCTTCACTGCCCAGGTGGTACCAGGGGACCCTGCACTGAAACAGGAAGGCACTTTGGAAAGACCTGGCTTCCTCCTAGTCACTCCAGTGCCGGGAGACATCTGCGCAGGTAAAACACTTTGTAGAAGCAAGGGAAGGCTGATTATGCTTTACAATGTTTCCTCTTGATCTTTCTCCTGATTTGCAGGGTTGACCTTTGAACAATGTCGGGGGTCAGGGGTGCTGACAGCCCATGCAGCTGAAAATGCACATATTTGTAATCAGCCCTCCGTATCCATGGTTCTGCATCTGCAGATCCAGCCAACTGCTGACCACGCAGGACTGCAGAATTCACCACCGACAAAATTCCAGGTGCAGGTCAAACCCGCGTCGTTCAAGGGTCAACTGTACTTCCTTTAGCCGCATGCTTTAAGACTGGAAAAACTGGTAATTACACAATTTAGTTTTCTATAGAACAGCGTACATTGAGTTTTGTAGATTTCCCTTTATATGTAAACTAGAATGACCTGACTTCCAGAATTCTGGTTTTCTGTTTTAGTACATGAAATAATTCTTAAGTTCTCTCTCTAGGGTGTAAATACATGACTTTGTGAATAAGTAAGATAATACCAGCAGCCTCACGGAGACAACGACCACTGGATGTCTGACTCACTCACACGTTCCGTGTTACTAGAAGGCGGGAGTGGTGTGGACGTGTTTTAAAGGCGAGGGGAGAAGGAAGAGGAAAAGTCTTTTGTCTTAGGCTTCTCAGCAGGTGACTTCATGTTTTTCCAACCACTGCTCATAACTGTGTATCTGTTTCATATCCCCCAGCTTGGGATAGCACCGTGTTAGACATCCACGTGCTTATAAAGAACATCTGCTCTTTTTAGGGCACCAAACTACAGGCGAATACCTCCGTTTGGAGGGAGGGACGTGGCCCCACGTAAAAAGTAGAAATAATATAAAGGCGGACCTCTGTACTGGCCCAGCCATTTCTGAATTGTGTGACCCTGGCAGATCCATTACAGACTTCACCATCCTTCACTGGATGGACAGTGGGGAGAGAAACACGGACCCTCTTACAGGACAGAGTAAATGTAAACCGAACAGAGCAGAGCACCTGACGTGGGGCAGGTACACAGCACACACCAGTGCCCCCCACTTTACACAGCACAGGTTCACGGAAATATTTAAGTCAAGCCCTAGAGTTCTGGTACCCAGTGCCAAGTGAACACCTCTGGGGCTCTACTGGAGTGCCTAGTGATGTACTCTGATTTAAAAGAAGAG